CGAGAATTGTAGAAATCTCCACGACGAGATCGGTAGGGGAAGCAAAGGAGAAATGCTCTTGAGTCCAGCAGCAGACAGAGTGAGCAGCCATAGAGACAACTCCCCGAAGAGAGACCAATCCGCGAAGTAATCAATATGATTATTGGCGGGTCCATCATCGCGGGCTGCACCTCAGCAGCAAGGAAAGCCTCGGTTTGYGAACGTGAGGAGCAGAATCCACCAAAGCGACCTARGCTGAAAGGTCCAATATTCTTTACAGAGGATGATGTGCACGGGGTTCAGTATCCCCATGATGATACCCTAGTCGTAAAGATGAGGATCAACAACTTCTAAGTAAAGCGCATCCTGGTCGATTCAGGCAACTCAGSTGACATCCTGTTCAAGGATGTCTTCGACAAGTTCCAACTCCAGGAAGGCAATCTCAAGCCGACAGTTACACCCCTGGTGGGCTTCAGTAGAGAAGATGTCAGACTGCTAGGTCGAGTCTCAATACCCGTAGAGGTCGGCACGTGGCCCAACATCGTGAGATTCGAGCATACATTCTTGGTGGTCGCAACTCCCTCCCCGTACAACACCATAGTAGGTCGGCCTATTACCCATGCACTTCGCACAGTGGTTTCCACCTACTACCTGACCATGAAGTTCCCTATGGACTACGGAGTAGGGGTAGTGCGAGGCAACCAGCTCGAGTCTCGTAAGTGCTATGTCACCGCTCTCAAGGGGAAGGCCAAGCGAGCGGCTGATATCGAGCTCGAACGACCTGTGGAGTATCCCGAGGAGCGAGCTACGTCAACTGAAGAGACGGTCCACATCCCGATCTCGAAGGAAGATCTAGCCAGAACTCTCCAGATCAGTGCATCGATTGAGGAACCACTCCGTTCTCAGTTGGTATGCTTTTTACTTAAAAATTTAGACATATTTGCATGGTCTGCGGCAGAGATGCCTGAAATAGATCCTAGTATTATAACTCACAAATTGAATATTGATCCTTTAGTCGGGGCAATTAGACAGAAAAAATGCAACCTCGCCCCGGAGCGCTAGAGGATAGTCGACGAGGAGGTCGGGAAGCTCCTTGTAGCCGATTTCATCAGGGAGGTCCATTACCCG